CCCTGATCCTCTAACAGGTGCATGAGGTTAAACTGCTTCCTTACACACTCCGAAGAGTATACGAGTATAAACTGCTTCTCACTCCTCCAACAGGTGCATGAGGTTAAACTGCTTCCTTACATACTCCAACAGGTATATGAGTCTAAACTGTTTCCTTTCTTTCACGGGAAGTTCCTGGAGAATACCATGCCTGATATTCTTAAGGATAACCCGGACACCCAACTGAGTACAATACCATACCCAGTTTTGCAAAGGAAGCTGGGGGTGGATGATTCATGTAACGGGAAGTTCCCAAAAGAAATCCATATAGTGTATTCTTAAGGATAACCCAGTCACCGCAGCAAGATGATGAATAAAAAATTCCTATTCAAATTCTCACAGCGTCTGTGCACTCAACACTCTCATTGTTAGAGTCTGGACATAATATTCGGAATTGGTCAAACCTTTCTACAGTTAGGACCAAAACCAAAACCCCCTCTCGATTCCCCCAATGAACGAGAGGTCCACAAATCGAGCGATCAAACCTTCCTACAGTCAGGATCGTCTCAAACCTCCCAACTGGTCAAACCTTCTTACAGTTAGGACCACAGTCAAAATCCCCTCTCGATTCCTCCAATGAACGAGAGGTCCACTTTCAAATCGAGTGATCAAACCTTCCAACAGTTAGGGTCACCTCAAACTCCTGTTTGGCCAAACCTTCCTACAGTTAGGGTCAAAACCATAATTCACTCTCGATAAACGAGAAATTCACCTTTAGTTCGGTAATCAAACCTTCTGACAGTTAGGATCATCCGAAGTTTTCGATTCTCGGAGTGGAGGTCCCACTCCTAGTTTCATCGTTCCGGATTCTGGGGGTGGAGATCCCACCTCGAGTCTCCTTTCCAGCTGAAGATAGAATATAAAATTCTTCTTCTTCAGTGTCGGGAGATAGAATATAAAATTCTTCCTCTCCCATTTCGGGTTCGTCTTTGCCCCAAGAGAAGACACCAACCTTTTCCAAGAATTTGTCAATCTAGGATTCATCCTAGGAAGTTTATCTCGAATCCTAAGCAGGGATAAGTCTGCGCCTAACACGCGATGCCGGTTTAGTCTTTTTCCGTAGAAAAAGACACCAGAGTTCGATTCTGGGGTATTCCATCCTGAAACCTAAGCAGGGATAAGTCTGCGCTTAACCCGTGCTGCCGGTTAGTTCTTAACCGTTAAAAAGAACACCCGCCCGCATATTCAACATTATGACAGATTGTTATTAATAACACCAAAATCCATGCCTTACACGCATGGGGAATTTCATCCTGAATCCTAAGAAAGGATATGCCGACGTCTAACACGCGTCGCCGGTTTAGTCTTTTTCCGTAGAAAAAGACACCAGAGTTCGATTCTGGGGTATTTTATCCCGAAGCCTAAGTTGGGATAAATCAGCGTCTAATACACGTTGTCGGGTAGCCTATTTCCGTAACAATGGCGAATTCTACGTATTCGAAGTCGTAGCGCCAAGTCTAAGAGAATTCACTCTCTTAGCACAACGTTACATGCGGAACGGATTTAGACAATCCGCATGCTAGCCCGACTCAAACGGTAGTCGGTAAAGGCTAATCAAATCCGTTGAAGGCTGGGGGTTAGCCAAAAATCCTAAAGTCAACGCCTAACACGCGTCGCCGGGTAGTCTATTCCCGTGAGAAAGACGAAGTCTACGTATTCAATATCGTAGCACTAAGAGCGTTAACTCTCTTAGCACAACGTCACATGCGGAACGGATTAGACAATCCGCATGCTAGCCCGACTCAAACGGTAGTCGGTAAAGGCTTATCAAACCCGTTGATGGCTGAGGGTTTGCCAAAAATCCTATAAATACGAGAGTCACTGACACATCAGCTTCATTAGTTGGTCTCGTGACTTGAGCATCCGACGACATTCGAACCCTATGGTCAACGCCAGTCAACGCGTAACACTAGGTCAACGCCAGTCAACGCGTTGCGATCAAAAAGTCAACATACAACGTTCAAAACCCTAAGGTCAACGCCGGTCAACGCGTAACCCTAGGTCAACGCCAATCAACGCGTTACGATCAAAAAGTCAACGTACGATGTTCGAAACCCTAGGGTCAACGCCGGTCAAAGCGTAACCCTAGGTCAACGCCTATCAATGCGTTGCAATAAAAGAATCAATACTCCGAAAAATATACGAGTATAAACTGCTTCTTAATACTCCAATAAGGTATACGAGTATAAACTGTTCCCTATTTTTGGTTGGGAAGTTCCTGGAGAATATTTTTCTAAAAAATATTCTTAAGGATAACTCAACAACACTACGCCGGACAACGCGTCGCAAATAAAGACTCAACGCCAACAATCGATGGTCAGTTCTATGTTGAACCAACAAATACGAGCTAAAAATCAGAAAACCAGGAATCGACTTCAAGTCCAAAATTCCGACAACGGTCAGACAATAAATGCAGCACCGGAATCCTTACAGACATTCGACAAAGCACCGAATAGCCTGAAGGATTGAAGGAATCAAGAACAGAAGCCATTCCAAGGTCCCGCTACACCGACTGAAGGTTGGGACAATCATATCCAAAGTATTCCAGACTCTTCTATAAAAGAACGAGACTAAAATACTTTGGAGGAGGTATCTGTAGGCGTATAAAACTGCTTATAGGTCCCTTAGCACAGCTCGACACAAACCGATGAACCATCGGGTGACGTATCTAAACACGAGCGTCAGTCCACAACACCGAAGCTAAGTGACACGCAACGAAGCGGATTAACGAGGCGACGAGGTTAACGAATCGCACACAAGCAACGGAATAGATCCACTCGCGTGCAGAATCAAGCTAACGGTTCGGCGAGTCAACGAGTCATCCAACTGTAGAACGGATTCAAACTCGAACACCGAAGCGGATTTACTGCCATATCGGGATCCAGACTGCCATATCAGAGTCCAGATCAGCGACGAAACTCAGACGAAGCGTAAAACCAGACAACGGACACAACACCTGGAGGACTCGGCCAAAACCGAGCCACCTCTAGGTGGCTCGGTGGCCGAGCCACCTCTAGGTGACCGGCCCAGATCTGTGCCAAGGCACAGATCTGAGAGCCTATAAATAGGAGGGCATGGTTCATTTTTGAGGGGTTAGAACTTTTGGAGCCGAAACTCTGCCGGATTGAGAACTCACCCTCGGATTTTCAACTTAGAAGACTTGGACTTCCAAATCTGGTTCTTGGCGATCATCCACGCCAAATAAGGCAGGAGTTCGAGAGGGATCGGATCTAAGATCTACGCAGTTATCCTCCGGATCAAAGCTTGGCCTTTGATCCCGAGAAGGCTACTATTTCCTTGGTGAAATAGTACCCCCCGGCTGTTATTTCCTTCGTGAGATAACACCCGTTATACTGTGTAGATCCGACCGGATCTAGATCACGCGGTAGTCCACGGATAAACTCCGGCGCAGGCGAAGAACCCACAAAAGCGAGTGACCGCAAAACAGGAGCTCGCGATTCGTTCAAGGAAAGTTGTAATTTTTATTTCTTTTTTTGATCTCGTTGTAACCGGATCTTAAAAAAAAAAGACCGGATCTTTGTAACCGATGGAATCAATGAAGAAAGCAATTTTTCCCGCGAACACCCTCTGGCTGGGAAAAGGATTAGTTGGGGATCTATTAACCATAACAGACGAGGTAGACGATATCAGGATGGAGTGGATCCAAAAACACCATTTGGGGCCAAAGCCTCTACACTGAAGGATGGACAAAAGGAAGTCCCAACTCACATAATCAAAAGCTTTGTGAAAATCGAGTTTAATGATACAGGCTTTTATCTTATTGGAGAAGCATTGGTGAACCATCTCATGTCCCAGAATGATGGAGTCCATGGTAGATTTGCCATGCTGGAAAGCCGATTGAGTGGGGTGAATTAAGGATAGGAGAAAATGGCTTAGCCTGTTGGCTAAAACTTTGGTGAAGATTTTAAAAAGGCCGTTGAGGAGACATATGGGTCTGAATTCTGAGGCCTGGGTGGGGGAAGATGTTTTGGGGATAAGGTGAGATATATGTGTCTGAGTAGAGATGTTTAAAAAAAGCTTGGATGTCAGGTTTGAGGACATCCCAAAAGGATTGATAGAATAGGATGGAGAATCCATCTGGACCAGGGGCTTTATCTGGGTGAAGACCAAAGACAGCAACTCAGATTTCTAGCTCTGAGAAAGGGCTGTCTAAGGAAAGGAGAAGAGGGTTTGAATGAGGGTAAATGAGGCTCCAATCTAAACCTACTTCGCAAGAAGTCAATATCCAAACCTATTCCTGTGTAGATTTTTTATTTTAAAGTTTTGACCACAACAATTGAAATCTACTACAACCGTTATTTACTTGACATGAATAAATACATGCAGACAAACACAGAATCATTATATATTGCCCAAACATATAATGCTAGCAAGCAGCAGTTATTTATACACTTATTTATCAAGCAAAACTCAAAGCTCAAATGATTGGTAGGAATCTATCTCCTGTTCCCAAAATCTTCATCATAACATGTACATGACTTTCTAGAGAATAACAAGACAGCATGAATTTAAAAGACAGAAACAAGGGGAACAATGAAGTTACAGCCTCACAACCGTACGTACACCCATCACATTATTACAAACCTATGATTTTTACCCGCACCACCACCAAACAAAATCCAAATTTCAATCACATGCGCCTGTCCTTTCCGCCAACCAATTGAAAACGCCACCAAAATTCAGTTCTATTGTCAAAGAAGCAATAAATCAATAAAAAAAAATTCTGGAACATCCTCATCAAGATTAGATAAATATTCCTCCAATGATCATAGCATCAAGTAAATATGATCAGTAATAGCAAAAACCCAAAACCCCGAACCTAAATCTCAATCAAGCAGCAACCACTTCAAACTCCAAGCCAAACTAAATCAAGAACTCAACCTGAACTACTACACACAATAGTAGATCTGATAGCTACTAACTATTCGAAGTACACACAACTAAAGCCTCAAGGAGAGATCAACGTCACCGCTGTCTTCACCGTTAGAACAACTATCACCCCCCTCACGACTGTCTCTCTGATGAGAATAAGAACCTCTCCGCCAGTTAAGGCAATCAATCGCCGTCGTCGCTTCCGCAGCAGCGGAATCCACATTGGGCCCCACAACGGCCGGTTGATGGGCCCGGAATCGGGCTGCTGGGCCGTAGCCAAAGCTCTCAGGGGGATAACTCGTCATCAGAGAGTGGGAGGCAATTGCAAATGGAGACTGATGGTTCATCGAAGGAGAAGTATAGTGCAAATGTGCGTTCAGTCCAATGCTCCTCTCCTTCTTGTGTGCATTCTGGTGGCCGCCGAGGGCCTGAGACTTGAGGAACTTCTTGTTGCAGAAGAGGCAAGGGAACAATCTCGTGTCTCGACCATTGGTAGCTGAGGTTGGTGATGATGAGGATGAGGATGAGGATGAGAAGTCATGGGAAGGGGAGAGGGTGAGAGAGAGGTCAAGGGGATTAGGGCTTGGAGGCTCTTGCTGCATACTTTGGAAGAGGGCTATCGCTAACAGGCTATTTTCGGTTAAGTGATAACTTGACAAGGGACTACCAACTTATATAAACATAAATGACCCAGTTCAATAGTTCATCACATGGACAAAATTGGACCAACCAATTATTTAGAGGAGGATGGTAACTGGCGCCCTCCTTCATGCTGTATTAATTCAGGGTGATATTTGGGGGGTGTACAGTGTAAATCTTATCATAGGAGGGTGGTAGTGAGTTCCGCCATCAGGTCAGGGATTTGTGGACGGGGAGCAGCAGCTCCCAACGGGTTGGTCGAAAACTACATAGGACCAATAACTGCAGCAGCAGCAGATTTTTCTCATTAAACTAAAAAAAGAGTCCGTACAGATATGGCTGCTTATGGTAAAGGTTTTATGTTACTGATTTTACTATACAATGAAAATCAGTGGGCACCCGTGCAAAGCATGACTATCATTTTTTATTTCCGTTACAACAATTCTATATTTAAATACAGTTTTTGTAAGTGCTACAGTAATATTTTAAATGCTACAGTATCCATTAGAATAGTGTTACAGTAATATTTTAACTGTACAGTTCCTGCGTGTGCTACAATAATAATACTACAGTAAATTATTGTAGCCTGCATAGTGAATCTTCGCTCCTCCTGTCTATGCTACAATAATAAATGATACAGAAATTTGCTGTAACATGAATAGTGAATTTTGGATCCTCCCATTATTATAGAGGAATAGATGGCCCGACCAGGAACTAATTCTTCTCTGTATATATACATCTCTAGTGCCTGCCGCACTAGCGTATAATCTCGTATTTTGTGATTATTGCCTCTTCGAACATGCGTAAGGGTGTCCCGCCCAATAATTGCTTAGAGGATGAGATAAGCTCCAGCCTTTGTGCTATTATCTTCACACTGAAGGGATCAATTTCACAAAAATATCACAATTTTTTGGGATAATTTGTACTTCGGTGTCATAAAGTTGTCACCTTGTTTTAACTGTCACGTGACAAAGTTAACCTTAACGTTGGGTAAAGTTGCCTTTTGGAGCAAGTTTAGACTTAAAAAGAAGATTACGAGCGCCAAAGTGTCAAATATAACCTTCGTACTTCGTAGCATCGAAGTTAAAAAGTCAGGACAACTCTATGGTACCGAAGTGCAAATTTTAGAGAAACTATCACCTGCGTCGAGACTAAGTTGTGACACGCACGTGTGACATGCTTTCAACATTTTTACCCTAATGTGTTTAATTAATGTCAAGCCAGGCAATTCATTCTCCTAATAACAGTACCTACATCTAAGTTGACGCTGGTACTATATCTAGCATATATATACAGTGAAATTAATCGTATATCTAACTCAAGAAACGATAAAGGATATATATCATCCAGGAGAGGCGACAAGTCAGATTTTGGATTAAATCATAGCCATTTATGGATCCATCAGATGTTTGTGGGATCAACTTAATTTGGAAATCCTATGTGATCTAAATAAAACAAGAATTGATGTAGGACACTTAATCTAAGTTGGAGTCTATTTAGATTAGGAAATATAGATTAGAAAATAAATTCAATTTTAGAGTCAAATTAGATTAGAAAACAAAATTTCAATTCAGCGCGAAAGTGATAACCTCGGAATCCACTAATGGTGTTCTCTGAATCCACAAAGAACGATCTCCGAATCCACGAAGAACTTCGAATCCACGAAGAAATATTAAAAGAGAAATTTTATTGATGAAAAATTATTCTCTTTTGGGAAATACTCCTTATAATAGAGGAAACAAATCATGAATCAAAATTGATTTTGTTTCCTAATTTAATTTGACTCTAAAATTGAATTTATTTCTTAATCTATATTTCCTAATCTAAATAGACTCCAACACAGATTAAGCGTCCTACATCAGTCTCCTCTGCTTGAAAAGAACTCGACCCCGAGCTTACACTTGCATAAATAGTTGTTTCTTATGACAGGTAATACTCAAAAAAATCGGCAACATTGAAACTAGGAGAGATACCCAAATCCGTAGGAAGGTCAACCACATAAGCATTGTCGCTACTCTTTTTCAATATCTTACAGGGATCATACTTCTTATTCTTCAGCTTGTTGTAGGTGTCCACGGGAAAACGTTCTTTTCATAGAAACACCATCACCATGTCTCCCTCTTCAAACACCTTCTTCCTCCTGTGTCGATCAACATCATCCTTATATTTAGCATTAGACTGCTCTATCTTCTCCTTGACTTCATGTTGGATAGCCTATATCTTTTCAACCATATGATCTGCAGGAAAACTCTGTCTGGGAAGCTTAGGCAGTGAAGCAAGGTCAAGATAATAATTCGGAAGCCTTCCATACACAACCACAAATGGAGTCTTGCATGTAGTTCGATTTTCTCCATACAGTTATAAACAAATTCAGCATGTGCCAGAGCAAGATCCCACTACTTTGGACGATCGCCAGAGATGGATCTAAGAAGGTTACCGAGAATGCGATTTACTACTTTAGTTTGGCCATCCGTTTGAGGGTGATAAGCAATACTGAACTTATGAGAAGTATTGAATCACTGCCACAAAGTCCTCCAAAAGTGGGATAAGAACTTAGAATCACGATCGGATGTGATGGATTTTGGCACTCTATGAAGGCGAACTATCTCCCGAAAGAAAAGATTGGCAACGTGGCTAGCATCTGCAGTCTTCTTATATGGAATGAAGTGCGCCATCTTTGAAAACCTGTCAACCACAACATAAATAGAATCCATACCTCGTCGGGTTCTAGGCAGCCCCAACACAAAGTCCATAGAGATATCATGCCATGGCGCATCAGGAACAGGTAAAGGTGTATACAATCATATATTCTGAGACTGTCCCTTAGCAACTTGACAAACTGGACAACGCCGCACATATTTTTCTGCTCCCTTCTTCAGCTGAGGCCAATAATATCGCTCTTCAATAGAAGCAATCGTCTTGTCTCACCCTAAGTGTCCTCCTAACCCGCCAGCATGAAGGTCTCTAATTATCTGCTCTCTTAGCGAACTCTAGGGTATGCACAATTGATCGTCATGAAATAAATAACCATCCTGAATATGAAAGCCTTTGACTGATATATTCTGTTAGCAGTCATCCCAAATCTCCTTAAAGTCTTCATCCTCTGCATATAGCTCCTTTAGGTATTCAAATCCAATCACTTCTGCTTGCAAAGTCACCAACAAACCAGCTCTCTGACTGAGTGCATCTGCAACCTTATTCTACTGCTCAGATTTGTGCTTCAAAACAAAGGTGAAATGCTGCAGATACGCGATCCAACGAGTATGCATACGGTTGTTGGTAGTCTGACTATTAAGGGACTTCAAGGCCTGATGATCAGTGTGAAGCAGAAACTCTCGTGAGATCAAATAGTGCTCCTAATGCTTCAAAGATTGAACTATGGCATATAACTCTAGCTCATATGTGGTCCATTTTTGCCGAGCTTCGCTGAGTTTCTCGCTGTAGAAAGCAATTGGACGCCCTTCTTGAGATAGCACACCACCAATTCCTACGATGGACGCATCACAATCAACTTCAAACACCTTTTGAAAGTCTGAAAGTGCAAGCACTGGTGCAGTGGATAACTTCTCCTTAATCAGTGCAAAGCTATGATCCGCTTCTACTCCCCAATTAAACTTGTCTTTCTTCATGCATTCAGTGATAGGAGCTACTATACTGCTAAAATTTCTGACAAATCTCCTATAGAACGTTGCTAGGCCATGAAAACTACGAATCTCATTGACAGTCTTCGGTGTAGGCCACTATCGAATAGCACGCACATTCTCTTCATAAACATGAATGCCCTCTGCACTAACAACAAAGCTTAGGAATACAAGGCTACTGGTCATGAAGTTGTACTTCTTCAGATTGATGTATAACTTGTTCTCCTGCAAAGCTATTAGTACCTTCCTCAAGTGGTCCAGATGTGTAGTCTCACTCTGGCTATAAATCAGGATATCATCAAAGTAAACTACAACGAACTTGCCGATAAAGGGTTTTAATACCTGATTCATCAAACGCATAAAAGTGCTAGGACCATTAGAAAGATCAAAAGGCATGACTAACCATTCGTACAGGCCTTCTTTTGTCTTGAAAGCAATATTCCACTCATCTCCTTCTCTAATCCAAATCTGATGATAACCACTCTTGAGATCTATCTTGGAGAACACTTTTGATCCAGATAACATATCTAACATATCTTCCAGTCGTGGGATAGGAAATCGATACTTCACGATAATATTGTTGATAGCCCTACTATCCACACACATGCGCCACTCTTCATTCTTCTTTGGGACTAGTAGCGCTGGCATGGCACACAGACTCATGCTAGGTCGTATAAGGCCTTTCAGGATGAGGTCGTCCACCTCCTTCTGCAAAATTTCTCCTTCCTTTGGGCTCATTCGATAGTGTGAAAAATTTGGTAGTCGAGATTCCGGAATGAGGTCGATCTGATGCTGAGCATCTCGAAGTAGTGGTAATTCAGATGGAAGATCGTCAGGCATCACTGCATCGAATTGCTGCAAGAGGGTCTGTACTTCAGGTGGAATTTCGGCGGTGGTAGAATCCTCTTTTCCCGAGACAACAAGAGCATAAACATCATCAAACTGCTTCACATCTTTTATAAATTCTTCATTATCAACGACCAAAAAAGTCTTCTTTTCAGCAATATTAGTTTTGACAGGTCCCTTCTCGGTTAGAGGCTTGAGCACAATTCGTCGACCATCCTTCTTAAAGATATAAACATTATCCTTCCTTCAATACGTGGCATCAACATCAAACCGGCATGGCTTGCCTAGCAGCATATGACAAGCATCCATCTTAACTACATCGTACAATGCCTCATCAACATAAGTTCAGCCAATGGAAAAAGATACTCGACACACCTCATCAACCTGCATGTCATTATCCTTATGAATCCAACCGATCTTGTAGGGAGCGGGGTGCTTCTCCGTCTTCAAACCTAATTTCTCCACCATGCACAGAG